GATTTTTCCTTTATTATTTCAAAGTTACTACAACCACTTAATTCCGACTTAATGCTACATCACTCCATATTCCCCCCTTAGGGAAGTACTAAGATTTAACGCTATGATGATCTACGTATAGATGTTTTACCTCTTCATCATTGGCGTCTTCTCACATTATCGATGACCCTTACTTGCCTTGCGGTAATCCTTCTGTACCAGGGTTAACGAAATTTCTTACTCGCGAGGGTAGAACTTAGTGTAACTAGCACACATAGTCCCTTAAGCTTAACTTTGCTCACATTGCTTGCTTTAGGGAAGCGTCTTCCTGAATGACCGTTTTCCAAATTTCTCAAGAATCTCCTTCTGTTGTCCATTCTATTGTTGTCGGAACGAAATCTGAAACTCTCATGATGCTGACTATTATTAGTAACTCAATCCCTAATCCGCGTTTAGTTTATCTTGTTCACCAGCCCATACTGATTTCTATTATTCTGGGGTCCAACTTCTCCTTCCGGTAGTTACGTTGGAGTCACGAACTTATTTCTCGAAGTGAGGATATGACTTTATGGCATGTATTATTTTGTTGTCTCAAGGCCTGTCACCTCTCGTCTTTTCCTTTACTTGACTATAGACTATGCAATGCTGTCATCTTTTTGACCTACCGTTGTCATCCATGTATCACATCTTACTCTTAATGCTTCATTAGCTCTCTTCTTATTTCCTGCTAACATTTCTGTCAATCACTTTATTCTGAAAACTTCAACAAGATATTCTTTTGCTTTTAACTCCCCTTTGCTCCAGCCACTGGCTCTTCGGGTTGCCTAGCATTATTTCACTACTAGGGCCGGGAGTCAAACTAAGATAATATTTATCCTTTCGAGGTTTCCAGTACCTATCTTTGTAGCACTCATATCTAGCTGTACTATTTTAGAGTGCACCATCTAGGTGTCTCACAAGGAGATCCATTACCACGTTTGCACTATCCTTCGGAAATGTCAGCTAATTTTACCAATCCATCCAATATTTTGGGTTACTCTAACCCCAGCCGGATCTTGATAACCCGTCCTTCTCTTAAATTATATCCGTTAGCTCCCATTGGCATAACTGAGATCGGTGTGGTCGATTGTACGTACATTTGTCAGTATTGAAGGTAACTTAAAATGCTCATACCTCCCTTCCTAAATGGTAAATAATGATAATATTTATTAACTGGGTACCTTGTACCCTTCTTCACCTTGCTTCTTTTACTTGCTAAAACTTGTGTCTACCTTCCGATTCTGTTATTCCTTTTTACCGTAAGAGTGGATAAGTATTCTTGCCTTAAAACTCCTTATCAAGAGCCTTACACCTTTTAGTACACGCCTGGTCTACTGAAGACCTCTCATATACTTATCATAAGCATGATGCAAAATCGAGTTCATCTGACTTCAACACTTCCACAGCTATATCTCATACCGACCGTCTTTCTGAATGTAGGTATCGTCTTATTACGAATAAAATAGAAGTTAGGAATTTGAATTCTTACAACTGAGCTCTACCACACGATCTAGAGTAAAAAGAAAGCGTAACAGTCCTAAATGCCATGTAGCCTCCTGCTTATAAGTGTGGTGCACGACACACCCATAAACAAGACTCTACTAGACACGGCTTGTAGACTCCCTAGGACAGAACTGCTCTGATACCACTTTTGCCACGACCCAAACCAATGGGCCGCGATGGGCACTCGGTACCTTAATCAACCGAGTAATAACGTATCTTTCATATCATTCTATCATAGGTAAATGAACCGGAGTAAAGCATGAGGGAATACAAACTTATACATATGAAGTACGGGCCTATAGGACCGGCATGATTCTTTATAAACTCGAAACATAGGCCGACAAGGCCATACAAGTATACGTATACATGACATCTATCTACAAGCCTCTAAGAATACATAATATCATAAAGGTCGGGACAGGGTACCGCCATACCAATAAATACATGCAGCAATCATACTGACCAAATAATCAACTCCGGAGCAAATGGAGCGCACCAACACCTTTCGCTGCGCTGATAGCCTACTTGGAGGACTCTCGACCAGTCTATCAGGACCTGCAGGCATGAAACGCAGTGTCCCCAGGCAAAAGGACAACAGTACAAATAATGTACCGAGTATGTAAGGAATGAAAATCAGTAACTAGTAGACATGAGAGAAACATGGAGTAAAAGACTCAACACGTATATCTGAATAACTCTGTGAATCATTTAATATTATTATGTCGTCCATATGTGTATAAATGTCATACCATGCATGGGTATATGCGTTCATAACATCATCAAGCCTCTGAGGGCATCCCATCATATCATCTCGGCCACTGTGGGCAAATCATCAACGTATACCAGCTGATCAGGTGGTGGTGCATATATAACGATGTTTAACCAAAAATTAGATTTTAGGTCAAAGCTTGAATTTACAAGAACTCGGGTTACTGATAATCGGAAAAGTATATAAGAAAGAGATTTTGAATAATATAATCAGAAAGCAAATAGAACAAAGTATATTCCAATAATGTTTTTCGTGTCCCTACAGTTGTTTGTGACTTTCCCTTTTATAATTGTTTTGGGAATACAGATTTTTCCTTTGTCATAATAAGACAATTATGGGTAATTAATGACCTTAAATGTTACGTTATGCAATCATATACATTCAATACATATTCTCTAACGTTTCTATTTTTTTATACTCATTAAATGATGTATCTGGGCTCTTTTTTGTTGTCAGATTCATTCCTTTGTCTCTTCTCGATCCTTGACCTTTGAATGTCTTGAATAGGTACGAGCGTTGAATTATTTGTATGACTGCTCGTGCCTTCTTCATTTAACTTGCTCGTATCTATCGTTGCTCGTGTCTGTTGTTGCTCGTGTCTGTTAACCAACCTTAATTCTTTGATTGCTTGGTCAGTCTACGTGCCATGACACATCACCATATAAATACAATTTTTCCCAATACAGATAGTTCCCCCACTTTCCATTTATTCATCAGTTTGAATATTTGGGAAGTGGAATTCATTAAAGGAGAATTTTTGTCACCATTAATGTTCTGACAGAGTTGACGCTTTAATTATCACTTCCATTTAATGCTTTAGACACGTGTCATCTTCTTATTGGTTCCACAATTTCCAACACTTTTTCACGCTGTCTTTTCGGCTCCACTGTTCATGAAGTATCAGTTACCATTATTGTGATCCTTCCATTACTGCATTTTTACTTTTGACGGTCGTCCATCAGTATAAATTCAATTTTTCCTTTCACCTTTTACCACATAAAACTTTTTCCTTGAACACTTGAATTGTGCGAATCTCTGTTTACTTATATTTCTTCTTCATCATGTCTTCTTCGAACCCTAACCCTAAGAGAGTTCCTATTTTAGACAATTTTCCCAATGCCCCTGTTAGACATAGAAGAGGTGGGAGACTTCGTAGCTTAGGATCCTCTCGTGGTGGTGGTTCTGCCATGCCTTCTCCTAGCCTAAGGTTGTATGGTGGGCCGGGCCCGGGCCTAAATGGGCTAAACGGGCCTGGGCTTAGCGGTCCCGGGCTCTGGCGGTCTCGGGCTTCACGGTCTCGGGCTTCGTGGGCTCAACGGGTGGGACCAGCCCGTGACGGGCCTAAGCCCATATGGTCCTGGGCTAAATGGGCCGGGCTCGTGGGCTTAGCGGGNTAGATTTTGTAAATCAGAGTTAACTGGATTACCTGGGTCTCTCTCTTGTGTTTCACTAGGGGTTCCACCGCTGCCTGAATTAACCAATCCTGAACGAGGATTCTCCAAAGTGTTGTTGTTTAGAGTAGATGTGGGTGGAACAGTAGGTAATTGGCTAACAAAAGCTTGAAGAGCATTATTGACTTGAGAGACAATGAGTTTTTGCAGAGCCTCATTCATGGTTTCAACATTTTCGAATTGAGCCTGTCTATCTGTGTGAGATCCATCAGGAGTGCCTTCACGAGACCGTCGTGGGGAGCCTCGTAGAGAACCTTGTGGAGAGCCTCGTGGGGAATCTCCCTGAAGTTGTTGGATTGTCTGAATTTCTGGGTTTTCTTGAGTGTTGTCATTGTTGTTCGACATGATTGATGCAATCAAGAAAATTAGGTTGAGATATGCTTGATTATCAGATTCCCGGTAACGGAACCAATTTGTTTAACCAAAAAATAGATTTTAGGTCAAAGCTTGAATTTAGAAGAGCTCGGGTTACTGATAATCGAAAAAGTATATAAGAAAGAAATTTTGAATAATATAATCAGAAAGCAAATAGAACAAAGTATATTCTAGTAATGTTTTTCGTGTCCCTACAGTTGTTTGTGACTTTCCCTTTTATAGCTGTTTTGGGAATTCAAATTTTCCCTTAGTCATAATAATACAATTATGGGTAATTAATGACCTTAAATGTTACGTTATGCAATCATATACATTCAATACATATTCTCTAACGTTTCTAGTATTTAATACTCATTAAATGCTGTATCTGGGCTCTTTTTGTTGTCAGATTCATTCTTTTGTCTCTTCTCGATCCTTGACCTTTGAATGTCTTGAATAGGTACGAGCGTTGAATTATTTGTATGGCTGCTCGTGCCTTCTTCATTTAACTTGCTCGTATCTATCGTTGCTCGTGTCTGTTGTTGCTCATATCTGTTAACCAACCTTAATTCTTTGACTGCTTGGTCAGTCTACGTGCCATGACACATCACCATATAAATACAATTTTCCCCAATACAGGTAGTGTTACCGATAATCTAGGTTCACCCAGTAACACACCTTCTGATGGTTTCACACCTTTTACCTTGGATTCATCTCATCCATTCTACGTACACCCTTCTGATAGTCCTGGTCGTCAACTAGTGGCTGTGCCTTTCAATGGATGTGGATTTGTGCTTTGGAGAAGTAGTATGCTTACTTCTCTATCTGCATAGAACAAATTAGGGCTCATAGATGGTAGAGTTCCTCAACCTATACCAGACTTCCCTTATTATCTGTATTGGGAAATGTGCAATGATATGGTTAAGGCATGGATCACTAACTCTGTGTCTAGGGAGATTGCAACCAGTGTCATGTGTCTCAAGACTGCAAGGGAAGTCTGGAAAGACATAAATGATAGATTTGGTCAAGCAAATGGTTCCAAATATCTTCAAATCCAAAGAGAAATCAGCACAACCACACAAGGCTCTTCTGATATTGCCACATATTTCACAAAATTTAGGAGTCTATGGGATGAATTAAACTCTTCCTATGTGGGTCCTGTCTGCTCCTCTGGAGCCCTTCCAAAGTTCATAGAGGATCAACAGTTATTTCAGTTCCTCAATGGTTTGAATGAGTCATACTCTACTGTGAAGAGTGCCATTATGATGATGAATCCCCTTCCTCCAATAAGCAAAGCTTATTCCCTGTTGCAACAAGATGAGAGTCAAAAGGTATCTCTCTCAAATGTCTCTAACTTCTCTGGTGACTCTGCATCCTTTTCTGTGTCAACTGGTCATCAGCAAATAGTAAGAGTTTCACCCAAAGGGTAAATTTTGAATCCAGAAAGAATGTCAGTGGTTTGTCTTGCAAGTATTGTAAGAAACCTGGANCTGGGCTAAATGGGCCGGGCTCGTGGGCTTAGCGAGCCTAACGGACTTTTTTATTTTCGGGCTTTTTTTAATTTTTTATTTAAGGTCAATTTCTTGTAAACCATATATGTATGTATATATATAAATTGCTCTTATGCATGGCTATATAAATATATGTAGTATATATAATATAGAAATCTAATTATTAAAGTGCTTGAGTAAAAGTAAAATAACAAAACAATAGTAAAACTAAATTGGCATGCATAATAAATTAATAACAAAGTACAACATGAAGCATAAATATGTCTAATAATTTTAAAATAACACAAATTGTTGAAAAATCTTAAAGACGAATTTGCGGATAAATACCCTCAACACAATACTTTATATGCCTCCTTAAAGTGCCTGTGGTACACCCTGAACGAAAATTTAAGACTCTTCCACAGTTCTTGCACTTTAATATTTGGCCTTCTTCATTTTCTTCAAGCACTTCATAGTATTGCGAAACAAATAAGCGCACTCTTTCCGAACGAGGCATGATTTAACTTGAAAATTGAGATTGAGACTTGAAGTCTTGAAAATTGGAGATTGAGAGATTGAGAGAAATTTAGATTGAGAAATGAGTATTGAGTATTGAAATGAAGAAGAGGGAGGGGGGTATTTATAGTGTTAGAGAAGGTTAGTTTTGTAAATTGAAAAAAAAAACGGCTATTTGTGCAATATGACCGTTGGTGGTCATTGGGGGTGGGGCCCTCATTTTGAAAAATATTGTTTTGTAGTATATATAGTACTACTTCTTCAAGTATATATAATATATATAGTATACTAGTATAGTATACTATATATAGTATGTTATGTATATATATTCCCTTATATATTTTCTTGTAGTATATATATTGTATGTTATGTATATATATTCCCTTATATATTTTCTTGTAGTATATATTGTATGTTATGTATATATATTCCCTTATATATTTTCCTGTAGTATATATTGTATGTTATGTATATATATTCCCTTATATATTTTCTTTTAGTATATATTGTATGTTATGTATATATATTATAGCTTATAAATAATTGCAAGTTAAAGACAAAAAAATATTGCAAAGAGATATTCAAGGGCATGTCTTATAATTTTTATTACCAAAAATGGCATATCTTTCTTAGTCTTCTTCCCCCCAATGGAATGAGCACAACAAGGTACTAATACCACCATTAAAAGGAAAAAAAAAACTAAGACGAGCCATCCTTGCAAGAACCGGAAAATGTTTTTCCCTTGCCTTCCATCATTCCAAAAGATCAAAGGTGCCGTCTGGATTCTCCTTTTCAAGTCCCTGCGACAAATAAACTTGAAGCTCATTTAGATGTGAAGTCTCATCAAAATTATCACCTTGAGAACCCCTAAACTCCGTCCAAGATTTAAGTGCTTTTAGGCCCGCAGCTCTTTTAGATGATTGTGAACTAGACGAAGTAGGGATTGGAACATTTGGCCAAGCATGATCTAACGCAAGTTGATAAGCATTATAAATTGTTTGAGCATTTATTTTAATTGAGGCTTTTGCCTCTGCAAGTGTAGAAAATTCCTCAACTGAAAGATCTAAAGCCTTATAAATATTCGAGTACCAAAAGTGAGGACCTCCTAATTTCATTGTAGGATTTAACATTGCAGCAACACCATAAATAGGGGGGATAGGGAAAAAATATTTTTTAAACTTTTCTTTCATTGCATTTATAGCAAGTTTCTAAATTTCCCCACCCTCCGAAAATTCAACAAACAAATCACATAGTGCTTTCAATATAAACTAAACAGTTTGAAATAGTAGGATAATATTGCCTAGAAAATGCATTTGTAGCAATTTGAAAATGTTCTAAAAAATCTATAAGAATTTTAACATTCGTCCAATCTTGATTTGTAAGGATTTCATCATCATCCTCACCACCAACACGAGCATTAAACGTTGCATTAATTGGGTTTCTATATTAACAGTGTTAGCAATAAACTTACCTGTGTGACGTGAATTTATTATTCTATAAGCAATAATGCGTTTTTGCATTATCCACTCCTCATCTATCCAATGACTTGTAACAGTTAGATAATCACAGTCATTATTACTTCTACCAATATCAGTAGTAATAGAAATCCGATTAGTTATATGAGTAAACAAATACCGCAAATATTGTTTATATTCATGTTTATATTTATAAATATCGCTCTTAACTGTTGCGCGAGGCCAACCTTTATAAGTAGGATTAAAAACTTTTCTAATATAATGCACAAAATTAGGGTTAGAAGGAAAAGTATAGGGTAAGCACATAACGGTAACCATCTTTGCTAATTCTTCACGATCTTTATTAGGATCGTAATATAAAATACCACCGGTCACAGTGTTAATTCCTGGTTGAACTAGATTTGAACCTGTACTAGGGTTAACCGCAGTATCTACACTTGGCCCCTCTTGCTGTGCTTTCATTTGTAAATATTTAACTTTATCTCTAGGGTGTGTTTGTATGTGCCTAGCCAAACTACCCGTACCGCTACGGTCTCCAGTATATTTATGCGCCAGCAATTTCCCACAAGTTTTACACTTAGCCTTATTTTGTTCTCTTACTTGAGTAAAAAAATTCCAAACTATTGATGTTTCTAGGCGTTTAGAAGGTTGTCTATTAAAAGTAGGGGTTTCTACAGGTGGGTCGGGCGGGGCATCAGTTGGGTTATTAACAGGACTAGTAGGTGTATCATCTAAATCCGGTTGGGTTTCATCTACATCCTCATTTTCCTCATCATTTTCTAAGATAGTTTGATTAGGATAAAGAGCATTCATAACTTCTTCATTTAATTGTTCACCTGGTGCAACATTATGGCAAAATTCACTATTGAAAAATTGAAAACAAGGGTTATCACTATCAAGAATAATAGGAGCAGCAGGACGGGTAACAGGTCTGGATCGGGGAGCCGGGGGAAGGGTAATAGGTTGGAGACTACTTTCACCAATTTTAGCTTTTCCCTTACCACCAAACATTTTTTTCAAAAAAAATGTCATATTAATTACAATTATGCAAACTAAAACACACAAAAATATATTCTTAAAACTTAAGAGTTGGAACGAGTTTACCGAATTGCCGAACAACTTCTTGAAAATTGAAAATCGTTGAAGACTTGAAGACTTGAATACTTCAATTCACCAACTTCACAATTTTTCACGAAATTGCAATAATAAAATAAGCAATTATAGAAGAGAAATTAGATATAATTGAGAGAGATTGATGAATTGGTGAGTAAAAATAAAAGAATGAGGGGGTATTTATAGTTGAAAATTGGGAAAAAGTGTATTATATAAAGTTCGGGGTTAAAATAAAGTTTGGGGGCCAAATGGCTATTTTTTAAAGTGGCCAACGGATAAATTATGAAGGCCAACGGCTAGATTTTAAAAATCTGACCGTAAATAGCCGTTGGAGCCCGTTAGGCCCGGTTGAACCGGCCCAGGCCCGCCTGCCGGTCCCGGGCTTAGCGGTCCCGGGCTCGTGGGCTTATAGAAGTGAATCGGCCCGCCACGGGCCTCCTGCACCATTGGGGACCGGCCCACCAGGACCGGCCCGCCAGGACCGTTTAGCCCTTTAAGACCGCGGGCCCGGTCCGGTCCCGGTCCCAGCCCGGCCCACCATACAGCATTATCCTAGCCCTGGTTCTTCCTCTAGAACTAGAGGTTCTTTTACTCAAAAATCATCTTCTAAGAGCAAGGAAGCCTCTGAACCATTACAAGAACCCTTGGTAGAAGAAATAGTCCCTTACGATTTATCTCTTCAGCATGATAGTCAATCACTTCAGACCCAAATTTCTGGTTTGGATCGTGTTGATGCTTACCCCACTATGATTACAGAGATTTTAGCTCCCATAGTTCGCAAAGATTGTCACTGGAGTAATGATTTCCCATTGTAATCCCCAATCCAAATCAGAGGATTACTTCATATATGACTGGATTCTCTTTCGTTTACACATACCCTTTTACTCTTGGGTTTAAACCAGCTATCGACCTAGTAATTCTCGATTTCTGTCGTTTCTTCAAAGTTTGTTTAGCACAGGTTGGCCCGCTTGTATGGAGGGTTGTTGCTTGTTTAAGGCATCTGGCCAATTTAGCAAACGTTGATTTCACCTTCTCCCACCTAATTCATCTATACTCCCTTAGACTTTTTCGTAATGGCGTTTTTACCTTAGTGGCTAGGAGTAAGAGAGTTTTGGTAGGCCCAGAAGATGACAAGGATCGTGGCTGGTATGCCCGATTTGTTGCTGCTTCCACAGTTGGTTTAATGGGTGAACAAAACGTTCCCTTCCCTGAGAAGTGGAATTTTGCACGTAAGTCTCTCATCTCTCCCGTACCTCTTTCTTTCGAATTTACAAATTTCTTTAACTTTGTTTTTTATTAGCAACCATGGGAGTTGTGGAGAACATTCCCAATTTTCGTGGTTGGGTAGATAAATTGTTGAAGATCGCTCCTATGGAGGCTAGGTCTTGGAAATTTATTTCCAGTCGTCATGGTTGGAAAGTAAAGACTCACGGTATGAGTTTTTGTCTTTCTCGTATGTAAGATTTTTCTCTTTATTGCCTTAACTTTCAATTTTCTCTTTGTCAGGTTTTGCTATTCGAGGTGTTACTACTGAAGCAGTTGCAGCTTCTCGTTTAGGAACCCAACTTTCTTTAGAAAGTGCTCAAGATATTCTTCTGAAAAGAAAAACCGCAGACGATGATAGCTCTGACGAAGAAGAGGAGGATGGTTCCTTGGTGAAAAGTCCAAGAGTTCGGAGACGTATCGTCTCTGATGAAGCTGAAGTTTCTCATCATCTTTCTCCAACCGGGTTTGTTAATCTCGTCTCTGACGATGATGTTGCTACCCCTCATGATACTCATGAGTCGATTAACCAGCTTTTCATTAGTGGTTTTGAGAGTGGCGAGTTAGGACCCG